GGCCCTCGATAGCATCGGTGTCTGTATCAATTATCAAGGGCACGTCAGGGTGTTTTTGCCTGTAATCATCGAGCAAGGGCAGAAACTCGGCGTCGACTATAATAGCATCGGCATCGGCATGGTCGAAAATATAGGCGATGTCATCCTTTTTCAACCTATAATTTATCGCGATGTTGATTGCGCCTGCGGCTCCAATGCCAAAGATGGCTTCGAGAAAGGCCGGCGTATTCGTGCACAATATCCCGACTCTCCTGTATCCTTTCTTCTTAATGTAATATGCGAAGCCTCGCGCTCGGTCAGCGAACTCGATATACGATCTTCTCAGGATCTTGTTGTTGGCTGTGCGGTGATAGATGGCAGGGGCATTAGGCTCGATGGATGCGGCGCGGGGTAGGAAGAATGCCGGCGAAAGAGTATGGACGTTATACCATGACGGCGTGCCAACGGTGTGATTGTCGATGCTGAGGTTGTCGATTGACTTGCTCGATGGCGGCTGAGAGTTGGAAGGGAAGATCTGCGCCGCCAAACTGGACAGACGCGATTTGGCGGAGGACATGTTGGGCACTCTCGAGGATGCTGGAGAGTCGTTCCTTTTGTCTGCACAGTACGTATCCAGCTACGACATTATGAGCATGAGCAACCGTACCAGAGTGTATACAGCGGAGTTGACGCAATCAAACGGGCAATAGGGCGATCTATAAAGTTCGTTCCCAGTATTTGCCTCGCAAAACCTTGGAGCTCATGCCACCCACATGGAGCAGTACGCGAGGTAAAAGTCCGAGGCACTCAAACAGCTGAGACTACTAAGTCTGGGGTAGCCAAGGGGGAGTGTGGGTACCCCAAGGCCGTGAAGGCCGTGCCTAGAGCCCCCGAAAGACCCCTAATACTTGTGCTCTGTAGGTCGGTCAGGCGGAACCACGATTGCCCTGCGTCTCTGGTTGGTTCCTTGGAGCTGGGGCAACGGAGAACCTTCCGCACTCATCATTTAATTGTCCCGGTTGAGTCTCGGGAAATTCTCCTTTCTTTGTAATTTCTTGGGGCCCGAATAAAACCCGTAGTATGGCATATTCGTAGTCGATGTGGATTTCAGGTATTATTATAACAAGCCGAATTAGGAGGGGAGGGATACCTCAGTCAAATGCACTCGAACTTGTACCGAGAACATGGAAATAATAGGCGAGGGTTTAGTGGAAGTGAGATCTGCCGCCTTCCCGTCTTTTCCTCGATTGGGACGCGGGCTTGGCAGTGCTAAGCAGAAAGCATTCGTTCATCCAGTCTGCAATGCCGGTCAACATACATCCCCTACTTGTAGGTACGAACATTCAACAACTCAATGACCAGGTCTTCGCTTACCCGGTACTGGTAACTCCGGATCTATGCCGTGTTGGTGTACGGATGATATCTACTCGGTACATATCTGCCACTGTCAAGCGCGCGCACACCGCGTCTTCTCCATGACACGCGAGACGGCCCTTTCACTCCTTGTCTCAATGGCGGCGTCATCAAGCATATCCCAGGCTCCAGAACGTCTCAATATTCGTACCGGTATCCTCATCAATGTACGGGGTCGGGTCCCTAAGCGACACGTTTTCCCCGTGGATCTCGGCAATTTGGCCGGTCAGGGATGGATTCGACACGAGCTGTTGAACACCTCGGGTTAGGGTGGACATGGGTGTGATGATCATCTTCTTGAATAATGCTTTGTCCGGTGCGATGTTTGTTTCTGAACGACAGGTCAGTTTCGACTTCACAACACCCCCCTAAATAACCTACCAAGAACAGCTGGTGCCAAAGCATTGATCTGGATGTCCTCCCTCTCGAGTTGACGTGCGAGTGACCTTACCAACCCTACGACGCCGAATTTCGAGGCAGCATAGAGGGGAGCTACGCCAAACGCATATAACCCAGCGTTCGACGCTGTGCAAATAATGGAGCCTTTGGAAGGGACCGTGGCGCCATTCACCACCGCATTCTTCCGGATGTAGTGAATGGCCAGCTTGACAGCTGTACGAGGGTCAGCAGCCGCACCGTTCGTAGGGGGCGATTTTGAACTCACTGTGTATTGTTCCAATCAAATTGACTTCCACAGTGTGCAACGCGGGCTTTGAAGGCGTTTCCTCGTCGACGATCAATTTAGGTTCTCTCGATATCCCAGCATTGGCCATGACGACATCGATCCGGCCTTGTTCTCGATAGATCTGCTCAAACACTGCTGCTAGCTCATCCCACTTCGAGATGTCGGCTTTCATGAACGACAAACTAGCATCTGGATACTCTGATGACAATCCCTTGACAATCTGCTCGCCCTCTGGGTTCACATCAAGGACAGAAACATGGGCACCTTGTTCTGCGAATGATCGGGTGATACCCAAACCTATCCCCGAAGCCCCTCCTATATGGTCGAGTGGACGTCAGGGAATGTGTGTTTCATGGAATGGAGATGTCAGGTTGCAGATCGACTAACCTGTCACCACAACGCTCTTCCTTGCAGCAGTCATCCTGAAGATTAGAACCTGTCCGAGCACTTTTTGCGGTGGAAATGCGACGTCAGGGTGGTATCGCCGTGATATATAAACAGACTCATTCGGATTTCGAAAGACACTCTCTGTGCAGGCACAGGTCAACACATTGGAGGACCATCATCCCTCTCCGGTTCTACACCATCCACGGAATTGCCCCACGAAATGTCAGCGATTCTCCCATGTGGGGCCCTTCAGCCTCGACGCCCCTTTACCCCGATTTTGACTGACCCTCCCAATCAAAGAGGAAGTCGATCCAATTGCCGAGAGCTAGACCAGTCTGACCGGGGGATCCCCTCATCGGATATGGACCTAATGTGTGTCGAAGGCAGTTGACGCAGAAAAGGATCAGATTTATGATATGTCCTAGCAGGTCAGGTAGTCGCCTCATGTCCAAAGAGTCCGATATCCGCTCTCGACTCCCGTGCTTAATCTCTGATTCAAAGCAGACAGACGGTCGATCACTCTGCTAGGCACAAAAAATTCATCGGATTGTCTGCTCCATTGGACCACTATGGCAGAAGTGAACATCGAGCAATCGACTCTGAACTCTGTGAATGGCAAAGTGGTGGTCCTTGCAGGTCGGTGAGCATGGTCGTCGTACTGTCGGTCTCTATAACTCACCGCCATACTTTCGTCTTCTAGGTGGTGCCCAAGGGATTGGCGCGGCTACAGTGACACAACTATACCAAGCGGGCGCTCATGTGTTCTTTGGCGATTGGGACGATACCAAGGGTTCGAGAGTAGCAGATGAACTTCGGGCCTCGCCTTCGGAAGGAAGCGTGACGTACCTCAAGGTCAACGTGCGGGATTATCAGTCTCTTCTCTCCTTGTTCGACGCCGCCTACAACAAGCACGGACAGATTGATATCGCGATATGCTGCGCAGCGGTGACAGAGCGACCGGGATATTGGGAACCAGAGAAGCTGGACCTCCAGAGCGTGAGGGAGGTACGTCTAATCATTGGTGGCTGCCCAGCGGCTTCTCTCCCATTCGCTCACCATGAGGCACAGACACCTACAGGCATCGCCGAGGTGGTCGACATCAACCTCAACGGCACGTTATATTTTGCCCGCCTCGCCGTGGCGTACCTCAAGGAAAAACATACCTTTGACAAAGAGTCAACAACAGCCAAGTCCATCACGTCATCGAAATGCATCACGCTCGTCTCGTCGGTGGCAGGATTCAAAGAGTCGCCCGGTCTATTCGCATATTCGGCCGCGAAACATGGCGTGCTGGGTCTTATGAGAGCTCTGCGGCCGTTCACGGCGCCGTTGTATGGATTGAGGATCAACGCTATTTGTATGTCCAATCTGTCTCATTCTCCGTCCCTCCCCTCTCTAATCCTCTCAATAACCCCCAGGCCCATGGGCGACCGACACCCAACTCCTAGCCGGCGTGCGCGCCGAATGGGTCAAGAACTCGATGCCGATGAACCAGCCCGTCGACGTGGCAAAGTACATCATCCAGGTCAGCGCGGAACCCAGCACGCACGGCAAAGCCCTGTTCGTGACAGGCGGCAAGGCCGTCGACATCGAGGAAGGCATCAAAAAGACCGAGCCCGTGTGGTTGGGGGAGAAGAACTCGCGCGAGTTGGCTCAGGGGCAGGTCATTCTAGGCTTGGTACGTTTTTTTTTTTTTTTTTTCATTCCCTCGTCTCTCGTCTTTTCTTCCTTGTTTCCCTACCCGACCCTCTTACTTCTCGGTCCATTTATACCCTTTACCCTCCTCCCAAATACCTCTTTTGAGATGTGGATATATGTGGAGGTTATCCCCGGTGCGAGCGATTCGCAACCCAGCCCGGGCACTCTGCATTCATTCGTCGGTAAACGAAAAAGGAACTGACATCGACTGACTGACTGCCTCACGTACAGGGCATGGACTGGGGCCACAACAAGCCAAAAGTCCACGAGGGCGTGAACGGGACTTCGACATGAGTTGTTTTATCTCCTTTTGCAGTGGAGCAATAAGAACACGCGCTGCGTTGCTTTGCGGTAAGGTCAAGTTAGAAAGTTAGAAGTTGGAATTGAGCCAAGCCACAGAAGGGAAGCACAGTGGTTCAAGTAATCCGGTAATGGCATCAATGGATCCGGAATCATTCCCCTGATTGTATTCTCTCGACTTGACCAATCTCCCTCCTCTCAAGCGAATGTAAAGTGAACACTACTTGTTCCCCCAGGCCGTGCCACCAGCCAGTGCTCTCAGCTAGAGCTACAGGTAGTTCAAGCCGGAAGAATTTGAAAGTGAAGGTCCTGCTTGACCGGTCAGGCGAGTGAGCGAGCGAAGAATTCGTGTTGAGAATAAAAAGAAAAAAAGAGAGAGGCAAAAATGTCGTCCCATATACCCTTCTCTTCTCATCTCTTCCCAGTGAGCCAAGCCAGCCCGCCAGCCAGTCACTCAGCAAAGCCGAGCAAGCGAGCTTGCTCACTCGACAAATTCCATCCAGATAGGGAATTTCTGCGTAGTCTTACTGACGGCGGCCTAGCGATCTTGGAATGGCGGAATGTCCATGGTGATGACCATCCTGGAGTACTTGGTCCCAATGGTAGGTTCGTTGCCGTACTGGAAGCACGAGAGAAGGTTAGAAGAAGAAAAGGACTGAATGGCTCGAGATCCCAAAGCGACATCTCCAGAATGGAGAAACAGGTGGTGAAGGGGCGTCAGAAGCAAATAACAGAACACCAGCAGACTTACCGCACCGTGAACCAACGCCATCTCCCGATGGCCCGGCTTGTTCAACCACTTGACCTGCCTGACACTAAAGTCGCGGGCCCAATCCCTGAGGATGTACGTGGACTCGAGCCCTTCGGACATGCCGGAGTCAGTCGCCTTCCATGGCTCAAGCCCTTCGGATAGAACGTCGAGGGCGACATTCTGATTCTTGTGAAGCGGCTGCCAATTTGTGAACACGCGTCCATGGCCCCCTTCTGTGTCTTCGCGCCGGTAAAACTGCTTCAGGTCGTCGAATCTGTCCGTGTCCTTTCTCCCGTACACGTCTAGGAGGTTCATGTAGTACCAAGGGCGCTCGCTCTTGTAGATTGCGAGCGAGTGGCGGAGACGGACGGGGAGTTTGGTCGCTGCGAGGCATGTGTAGACGACTTTGTCGACTCCCTTGAGAGTTGCGGGGAGGGCGGCGATCGTGTCTCCTGATGTATGTGCGTAGGCGTGTGCACAATGGTAACCGAGTAAGAGACCTAATGAAAAGAGAAACGACAGAGAAAGAAACAGCGGTTCAGCCCAGCTTCATCTTCCATGCCTTGTAAGCTGCAAGGTTTCTTACTTACCGTTCTTGCAGAAGCTTGGCTGCTCGAGTAAAGTCTTCAAAGTATGGTATAGCCCGACCTGTTCAGGATCGATCAAAGCCGTGTTCGCCGAGCAGGTGACATACAGATTGTATGTCAGCGTCACACGTTCACCTGCGGTGACCTCGAGAACTTCGTGCTCGCAGTCGCTATAGAAGGCTGCCCATTGAATGGAATTGCTGCCTTTTTCGCCAGACCAGTCGAAGACCTCCTCCCGACCCTGGTGGCGGAGCACCAGCTGCCCGCCTTCGTGGACGCTCGGAAGACAGACAACTAGCGACCCGATCTGGTGCTTCGAGCGTGGGGTGTCGACGTGCGCTTTGAACTTGCCCGACGGCGCGGCATACACCTAAGTTCCCAAAGTTAGTGAAATGCAGGTGTACCACAAGGATGAGCCGCTTTTACATTCAGCTTGTATAGCTCCGCCCTGACACCATGATTCTCATTGGTTTGTCTCCAGTTATTTGGAGCAAGAGCCTGCGCGGCTGTGGCAATAATGCCCAGAGAGTAGGGGTTGAAGTTTGTGCAAAAGTCAGATTCGTCCAGCTTCCCAGCTTTGCGATATGTCTCGTCCATGACATCCTTCCCTGCACGCCCAAAGCTCGCTGGCTGACAGTCCTTGAGCAGCTGCTCGAAGGTGGGTCTCTGGCTATCGGTACATGGCAAGGTCACTTTATGTGAGCCACCAACAGCTCCAGTGGAGTCCCATCTGATGGTGATCGGGTCGCAACGCATTTTGTGCACTTCAACACTTCCCCCTGGCGCTGGCGGTGCTAGGTGCTCTAGATCACTCTCGCTGGAGTTGTCGTAGCCGACGAGGCCATCACGAGAGGGGGGGCTCCCCAAGCTGGGTTCGCTTGAAGGTTGCTCGCTAGGTTCGTTGTCCTCATCCGATTCGGTATCGTCAGACTCGCAGATAAGGTGTTTATCAAATGAGGTGAGTGGGATCGAGCCGCCAACAGCGAAGACAGATTTCTCGCCCTCATACTGGACTTGCTGGGCGAGTTCTTCAAAGACTTTTTGTTCCGCCTGCTCAGCCAGGGAAGGCACTTTAGAGCTCTGAGCTGCTGCTGCAGTTGGAGTTGCCATGATGAGGAGGAATATTGTGGTGGCTGCTTCGCGAGAGAGTTTATCGACGGCACATTGTTGGCTTTATATATGCGCAAGGAGAGTGAGTGGCTTTTGCATAGAAGAACAATCCAACACTTGGGGCTGCACCTTTCTCTCAGGCATCACTAGGCAGTTGTACAGACACGACTACCGTTAACATGTGTGCGGTTGAGTGTGGTGAAGGCAGCGTCAGGCAGCACATGCATGTAACCGGAAGTTTCAGTCCTGATTGGACCAGGAGGAACAGCATTCACCGGACTCCTCCCACATCTTGCTGCCGGAGCCTTGAGTGAAGCATCAGATTTGGAAGGGTCTGGAAAAGATAGCGAGCACTGGGGGCCGCAAGCCGATGTTTTGTGACACAGTAGACGCTGGCACCACCAGGATATTTCATGACCGTGGTCCTTTCTCCTCATCAGTCGAGCTGCTTGACTCTTGGACCGCAATAGGCAAAGGCCCGCTCGTCGCTTCGGCCAGGTTCTGCTTTCTCACATCCCACCCTCCATGCCAGCCTATCCAACCCTGCTCGTACGGTCCTCTCAAAGCAGCGATCACAAACGTCAGTCCCACCAGAGCCACACTAAGACTCCCACTCGCAATCCACCCGCCACGCTCGTATAATTTTGCACCTGCCGAGGTCCCTGTTAATTGACCCGTGAATGTACACAACATGTAGGCTGTGTTCACTCGATTCCGCCCGGTTGGCTCAATCGCATGGATCGCAGCGCGATTTGCTACCTGAGTAATTTGGAGGCCCATGTCAAGCGTGAAGGCCTCAATTATTGGTCCTGCCACCGCGAGTTTTCCCGTATAAGTGCCAACGGCCACCCCAATCAGATTGGCGGCACAGCCCATCATGCAAGAGAAGAGGGGGGCGAAGGGCTGAATGAGGTATTTGGCGTATAGCGGGCCCATGACAATACCGGCCACACCGATCAGTGCGAACAATCCAATGACAACTGGCGAGTAATTGTACGGGGAATCGGCTAGGAGAAACGTGAGTGTAGTCCAGTAGTTTGTGAAGGCGGCCGAGATACAGAAGCTGATCAATCCAGCTTGGACGAGGACGGCGTACTTCTTGTACAGAAAAATGATTCCGCCGATCATTTTGAAGTAGTTCAGTCCCTGGGGGTTGGAAGAAGGATAATCGGGCATAAAGAACCAAAGCGTAACAAGGATGAGGTATTGCAACGCAAGCGCGATCCAGTAGATGTTTCGCCACGACGTGAATTGTGTGACGACACCCGAGAGAATGCGGGCAATCACGATGCCAAGGAGGTTACCAGAAGTGGTGATACTCAAGGCTAAAGCGCGTTGATGAGGGGGTGCCAACTCCGAGACCAGCGGAAGCATAACTTGAGGAATGACCGTGGTAACGGCACACAGGTAGGAGATTGCACAGAAGGCTGTGAATGAATGAGTGACGCACAGTCCGATCCTATAGCAGTACGTTAGCATTGTGGATTCCGCTTTCGCATTAGGCCGCACGGTGTTCACTCTCTAGAACAAGCGCGACTTACCACAGGGTGGCTGTGAATGCAATGAGTCCCAAGGTCAACGGTCTTCTCTTTAGTAAATCGCCCAACGGACATACGAAGAGCAGCCCAGTGGCATAGCCAGCCTGCATCAGAGTTGGGATGCGTGACACCTTGACATAGGGCACGTTGAAGTCTTCAGCCAGGATGTTCAGGATTGGGTGGTTGTAGTATAAATTGCCCACAGTGAAGGCACCCGCAAACGCGAACAGAACATTATGCCAGATTGAGAATGTGGGCGGCTTCTCTGGATTCCATCGACACCACGGCGGTGTCCATGTCAGGACATCGATTAATCTCTGCCGTTTCGATCTCGGGTTTGCGACCTCGGGTTTTGGATCTTCATACGTCGCCTCAACAGTTTCAACGCTTTTCTCACCAGGGGCATTTGGCCATGCCTGTGGTTCGTCGGTTGAGTCTCTTTCCACCATGCCCGACCAACAATGATTTTCTCGGGGAAACTGTAGGGACGACCAGAGAAAATCCAAATTCGGGGATCGAGAACAGTTATAAAAATACGGTGGACGGTCAGGAACTATTCTCGGCCCGGCCTGGGGCACGGGAAACGAAGTGCGTTCGCGTGCTAGTTTTCGGAGATCGTCGGTTCCATGCCATTAACTCCAGACAAGATTTCCCCAACATCCTGAAGATTGTCGATATGTGTGGGAAAGTTCAGATTCGAATGGGACAAACACATCAACCATGGGCTCCCCTTATTGCCACACACCGTGCGGATTCTTGTGGGCACACCAACGCACGTTTTTCTTATTAATTGTACTTTCCAACGGGATAGAGGGGGGACGGTCCCACAATGTGTGAGTTGAACTGCGGGCGGCATGCCGTGTTTGCCGATAACGGGAATGGAGATATGGGAGATCCGCAGCCCGAAGGAGACGCCTTCGCCGAGGCAAGATTGCTGACAGCATGTCTTTCCCGTTCAAGAGAGGGATTGTTCATAAACTCATGGAGGAATGAGAGCTTTCTCGAGGGAAAGAAAAGGTGCAACAAGCGATATATGAAAAGGAGAGAAGATGGAACAACAAAGTCGAAGATGACGTTCGACTTGGGTGTGCCACGTGACTCTCTCTTCGCCCCCATGATTGCGCCAATTGTGCCAATTGTGACTCCGCAGCTCAACAATCGATCAGCATCCATCAACCATGTGCCAGGCATCCATCGAGGCACCTTTCAAGCATCGTCCGACTTGGCTCAGATGCATTGCCGCATGGAGCGCACTGTGACTCATCTAATGTTTTAAATGGCGGGCAACCTCGATAAACAAACCCTTCATGAGTGGATTCAATCCCGCAGAGAGCTAACTTTCTCACAGAAAACATCAACCATGGAAGATCACAAGCTTCTGGTGAAGGATGGTTATGACAAGATCGCCCAGACCTACCTCGACTGGAGTCATGGGAAACCAGCAGCCCGTGTCACCCGTGTCACCTACGTGGAGAAGTTGCTCTCTCAACTGCAAAGTCCAACTGAAGCAAATGTCCTCGAGCTCGGCTGCGGCGCAGGAGTTCCATGTACGCGATTGTTGGCACAGTCCTGCGGTCGAGTCTTTGCCAACGACATCTCCCAAGCGCAAATCCACCTTGCCAAGGCGAATGTGCCAGAGGAGAACGTGCATTTTATCCAAGGAGACATGACACATCTCGAGTTTGGCCGTTCAACAATCCAGGCTGTGGTGGCCTTCTATTCCATCATTCACCTTCCACGTGAAGAGCAACGCAGCCTCATCCAACAAATCTGGGAGTGGCTGTCCCCCGCAGGCTATCTGCTGTGCAACTTGGGAGTTGCAGATAATCCTGGGTCAACAGCAGATTGGTTAGGATCGCGAATGTATTGGAGCAGCTTTGATGTCGAGACTGGCATTAAGATGCTGAAAGACACCGGCTTTACTGTCACCCAGAGTGAAGTGTTACATGACGACGAGGACGGCAGGCTGGTTCCATTTTTATGGGTTTTGGCCCAAAAGATTTGATTCTGACGGCTTGCGCCCCGTCTCATAGCGAAATGCACTGTCAGGACCCCAGCCACGGGTGTTGTCTCGGCTTTCATGCTATGCTCCAATGTCCACCACTGATCTCGACGGTGACAATTCCGCTGATGCCACCGATACGTTCCATGACCCTCCCATCCATTTGACGGCAATCTGCGGTCTCTCAGTCGTTGTGGAAACACATGCACCAATAGATATGGAAGGTGCCATCGCGTTGAAGGAGAGGATTTGGCGCATTTCACACCTAAGGCCCGCCCGTCTTCTTACAATGGCTGCTTTTTACAATGGCGAGCAGCCACCCAGCTAATGGAAGTGATAATAAGGTGTGAGAAATTCTCAAAGACGATTGTATATGTGTCAAATCGGCCACAACCTTGGCGACAACGAGAAAAGTGGCAAAGTTCTGAGAAGACTTTGACCCTCTATTAGGTGGAACTGGCAGTATAAAGAGTAGAATGAAGAACTCACTAAAGGAGGCAGAGAACGCTTATACCCGGGTGAGTGTGCGTCTCATGCCAAGACACGTGTCACTGTCCTAGCTTCATTCCTAGGATAGTGACTCTACTTGTCACTATCCAGGTGAGCGAATCCAACCCGTTGTGACATCAGACCAAGGAGGGGAGCCTTTTCCAGGCGAGAGAACCTCGACTCCCGCACAAGAGAGGTGTGCCACTGGTCTGCAAAATTTGATGACACAGTCCTCATTTCGATCCTCTTATGGCTCAGATCCTTCTGCGAACAGGGGTGTGACCGCTCAGTCTGCCACACCATGGCGGCTGGAAACGATACAACATCCTTGGCTGTTACTCGAGCACCATATCTCCTTGCACACAATCCACGAGGCGAGGATACAAAATACCGTTCCTCACCTTTCGATGTCGACCCTCGAAGTTGCACGGGCGAAAAGTACGGATGCGCAGAGTTTGCGACACCGTCAGCTCGCTTGCTTGGCCGATTTGAGTGGGTTCTTCGTCAACCCAGACAAGGACATGGGAGAAGACAGTAAGTTGGATACCGGCATCGTCTCCAAGCCACAGGGTTCTTTATTTCTCCGAGCACGAAAGGATTACGGCTCGTAAAGATCTAGCAACGGTGATATACTTTCTACAAAGGCCCACGGCCGAGTCCTCTACTATCGACACCTTATCCGGCTTGTCAAAATACAAAAGGGACGAGGGAGGAGCCACGTTCATCGAGATTGTCTTGTAGGAATAGGCATCGTTCTCGAGCCCAAACCCTACTCGTATCGGGAGTTTTCATGTCCGGGAGTTGAGAAGTTCGGAATCGGCTAATGCACCAAATCTGGTTCGAAGGAAGTCAGGAAATGGTTTCAGTGATGCCACTCTATCTGGCTCACGACCACCTATCGAGCCTGACTGACTAACTACATTTACATACTATTGTGCCCAGTATCCGTCACTGGAAGATCATTCATCCACAGCTCTACATATATGCATGTCCTGGGATACGTGGGATGGCCCCGGCAGCTTCCTCATTCGACATAGCCTTATGCATTGCGTATCAACGGTCGATAAACTGATGACAGCCTCGCAGATCACCGCAGACTCGTTTCGTCAACTGCTTCTCCACCACAGCCAAAAACTTTCGACTCCCAAAGGATCTTCATGCCTTGATGCACGTTCCCTTCGGATTTCCACGATCATGCCGGCGGGCGCTTCTATCTAACAGCGTCAATCAAATGGTGTCATCGCCCTACGGAGCGGTTGATCAGCGCTGCAGCAAGGCGTTCCTCGAATGAGATAAGGCGCAAGATTTATCGCATCCTGCACAGGGGTCCGGAGTATCAGGCATCGTCAAATATGTTATCAGAGTCGGTGTTTGCTTTCAGAACCACCTCTCTTCGCAGGAGAGATCCACATTGCAGTCAGGATGCTTGACGGTGCCTCCACGCTGTTGATATCAGCGACACGTGGTGTCGGGCTTATGGCCGAAGATCATACATATAACAAGGAAAGTACATGAACTGCCTTGACTCTAGGTGTGCGCTGTCGCTTTGTCTCTTTCCTCAATCGTTGTACCGTTTGATTGCTTGGGCCCTACAATAACCGTTGCTACCATGTCAGAGTCTGAGTCAGCGGTTCTATCCCAAGGCGTTGGATATGGGGTTGTCGTGGGCATCGGGTTCTTCTTCACGGTCGTCATGGCTGGCATCTCCATGCTCCAGGTACTTAAATCTCTGTCCCTGGCCGATTTTGTCGCAATGCTGACCTCTTATTACAGAACCGATACACGAACTTCTCCACCAGAACGAGCGAAGAGTTCAACACCGCCAGCAGAAATGTGAAACCTGGTCTTATTGCTGCTGGTATTGTCTCAGCATGGACCTGGGCTGCCACCCTTCTCCAGAGCAGCACAGTCGCTTATACCTATGGCGTAGCTGGACCATTCTGGGTAGGTCACTGCATTTACTCTCCCCGTGACAAAGGACATGCTAACAGTGGTGAAGTATGCTGCGGGAGCCACTGTCCAGATCTTGATGTTCTCCATCCTGGCCTGTAAGACCAAGATGAACGCCCCTCGATGCCACACATACTTGGAAATCATTCAAGTTCGCTACGGCACTGTCGCCCACATTGTGTTCATATTTTTCGCCCTCGTCACAAACATCCTGGTTGGCTCGCAGCTCCTGCTAGGCGGCTCCGCTGTCGTCACCAGTCTCACAGGCATGAACGTCTACGCAGCCATCTTCCTGATTCCACTCGGCGTCGTTGCTTATGTCCTGATGGGCGGCTTACGCGCGACGTTCTTATGCGACTACAGTCACACGCTTATCCTGATGGTGATTATCCTTTACTTTATGTTTCAGGTCTACTGCACAGACGACCTCATCGGCTCGCCATCTCGTATGTTCGAGCTGCTCAAGAAAGCGGCAACGCTTCGGCCTGTGACCGGCAACCAAGACGGCAGTTATATGACTTTGAAATCCAACAACGCCTTGATCTTCGGCGTCATTCAACTTTGTTCCGGCAGTGGCACTGTCTTCTTGGACCAGGCGTACTGGCAGAGAGCCATCGCATCTCGTCCTACGACCGCCGTTCGGGCATACATTCTAGGTGGACTGGCATGGTTCGCTATCCCTTTTGGCTTCGCCACGACCCTGGGATTAGCATCAGTCGCCCTGACCGACAATCCTGCATACCCGACGTACCCAAATGCACCTTCGTCGAGCCAGATCTCCGCCGGCCTTGCATCCGCTTTTGCAGCGAGCACTCTGCTCGGCAAAGGCGGGGCAGTGGCCTTGTTGATCACGCTCTTCATGGCCGTGACATCCTGTGCATCTGCAGAATTGATCGCCGTCTCATCGATCCTTACCTTTGATATCTACAAAACCTACATCAAGCCCAATGCGACCCCCAGCAATCTGATCTTCATGGCCCATATCAATGTTGCTGTTTTCGGTCTGACCATGTCCATCTTCGCCATCATCTGGAATGTTATTGGAATCGATCTCGGCTGGTTGTTCCTGGTCATGGGCCTGCTGATCGGCGGTGCTGTGTTCCCTGTCGCATTTGCTATTACTTGGAAAGGACAGAGTCGAGCGGGTGCCATCGCGGGAGCTTTGAGTGGTCTTGCCGCTGGTCTTACTGCCTGGCTTGTTGAAGCTAAGGTCTACTATGGAGAACTGACCCTGACGACCACAGGATCAAACTACGCTACGCTGGCAGGCAATTTAGCCGCTATCATGACTGGCTTGATCGTCTCGGTCGTGGTGTCCTTGCTCAAGCCGGACAACTATGACTGGAGCACAACTCGGGCCATCAACTTAGCGGGCTCTCATGCTACCTTGGACGGGACCACTCCCCAAGCGACGGATTCTTCCCGGTCAAGCACTACGCACAGTAGCGGCGACGCAAAGACGAAGGATATCAAATCCATCAACGAATCAGCATCCCCGGCACCAATCTCACCCGTGCTTGTACCTACATCGGCAACGGACGAAAAGAACTTGACGACAAGCGTCAAGCACGACACCGACCCTATCCGTGCCGATGAAGAACGCCAAATGTCACTGGACGCAGCCATCGAGGAGCACCCGTCGCGCCTACGCTCGGCTTTTAGACTCGCCTGTATCGCCTCGTTCGTCTTACCCTTCATCATGGACTTCTTGATCCCTATTCCAATGTTCCTGAGCCATTACGTCTTCTCAGTTGGATTTTTCACCGCCTGGGTCGTTATCAGTTTCATTTGGGTGTTCAGCTCCGCCTTGATCAGCGTTGTCTTGCCCGTCTGGGAGACAAGAGGGTTCTTTGCCATGCTGTTTACGCGGGTCCTTGGAGATATGAGAGGGAGAAAGATTTCTTCATGAGGAGGAATCGTATGATTTCCGTTCCGACGTCCAGGGTTCCGGAAGATGGAAGTTGATGAGTAGATTCACTGTCACTACATGTTTCCCCCAAAGAGTAGATTCTTTATAGACATAGAGACATAGAGAAGACTTAGATGTTTCAAGGAGATGATCGTTTACCTTGCAGCTTTCATTGTAGAATGCGACGTCGCTACAAAACCCGAGATAGGCAGTGAATAGTCCAGTCCGACCAGGTTGTGCGGAGTAGTATAGACTGTATTTCCTCATCACAAGACCCATGCTTGATGTTGCAACAAGTCCAAATGGGCACAGGATGCCCTTACGTACTTGTCCCTCGTGGAAGAGCAGTGAAAGGGTAAAGGGGACTAAGGTGAGAAGGGTGTGAGCATTGATGGACTAACCGAAAGTGGTAAAGCGCATAATGACCCATTGAATTGTTCGAAAACTGACGAGACAGTTTCGTCGAACACTGAGGTTCACAAACTCCTGCGCCGACCCTGTTCACAACCTCAGAATAACTCCTGTGGAGGTCTACCCTTGCTTTGTGTGCATATCACATCTCAACAAAATGCCTCCCAGACTCCGCCTGCGCACGCTCGCGCAGCTCGCAGAGCTTCAAGTCGAAGCTGCTTCCACATACACGTGCGGTCGTTGCTCGCGACTATACGCAACAGCAGCAGCAGCGCAGTCAATAGCGACAACACCGGCTCCTTCAGATGCGCAAATGCGAGCCTCGATACCAACCCTCTCGCGCTACTCGCCCGTGCAACCCCCCTCGCACCGCAACCCAGCCTACCGAAAGTCCCAGCTGCTGCGCTCCTACGTCTCGCTCCTCCAGACGACGCCGTTGATCATCTTCTTCCAACACAACAACCTGAAGGCTACCGAGTGGGTGAGCATCCGACGCGAGCTGGCCTCGGCACTCCGAAAGGTCGACGCACAACTCGCCGCGCAGGGCAAACCTCCGCACGAGCTGATCGGAGAGTACATCAAGTTACAAGTCATAAAGACCAACATGTTCGAACCAGCCCTCCGAATCGCCGAGTACTTCAAACCGCTACCGGCGCCAGAACTGATTGGCGGCCTAGCAGGCATCCCATCGGAAAAGGATGATCCCTCCTTGACACACGTGCTGTCGGTGGCAGCATACGAAGCGGCGCAGCAGCACAAGAACGAACATCCCCTAACACCTGTATTGGCCGGCTCCGTGGCCATTCTGACCCTCCCGGCCGTTTCGCCGACCTATCTCAAGACCGCATTTTCGATACTATGCCCCCAGGCACCCCGCTTCCCTGCCCCGACGAGGAGAGCAGTACCCCAATACTACGAGCCATCAGTACAGGACGGGTTGAAGAAGCTCATGCTCCTTGGGGCGCGGATCGACGGACAACTCTTCGACATGGACGGCACGCGATGGGTGGGTAGCATCGAAGGTGGAATTGACGGGTTGCGCGCACAACTGGTCGGCATGCTGCAGGGCTTCGGGGCCTCGGTGGTGCACACTCTGGAGAGCGGTTCAAGAAGCCTCTGGTTCACGATGGAGAGCAGACGGAGGATGTTGGAGGAGGAAGAGAATCCCAAGGGCGAGGATGGGGAGGCAAAGAAGGAATGAATGGATTTGGACGTGTATTCTTTCCGCCAAAGCACGTTGACAAGCTACATGTAAGAGGAACACCATGGAGGTCAAATATGTAACAACAGCAGATCTCGGCACAGGCACAGGAAAATCCTGTTGTCCCATGGAGAATGGAGAAATCAAGCCAATGTGAGCATTTAGCCTTCGTATACTTTACTTGTGCGTATGCGTATGCGAAGAAAATCCATGTGCACTATGTACCTACTCTTGCCCTGCCCTCCCAAGTATTTCGGGGTATCTTTGCGCGCCCACACAACCGTTGACAATCAGTTCCGGTTCCCAGCCACTTCAGACACGTCCAGGCAAACCGCGATAGAACTGCATCCCCAGAAGCGACCCTGCCAGGTCTCTTTTGATATCCCAAACCGGCCACCCCCTTGTTCTAATACACAATGCGTAAGAAAACGACAAGTGCCGAAAACACTGGGTAGTGGAGATTCATGGGCGCCCAAAGATGACCAAAACCCGATCCCTCCTTCACATCAAGTTGTAAACCCAAGTCCACACTGTACAAGGTAGTTGCGAATCCGCACCTACAGAAGCACGGTATCGTGAATATCAGAGTTCCTGGAGATGGTTCATCTTTCAGGAGGCCTCATTGCAAGTCTGGATCCTGAAGGCTGATGATAGCGAAAACCTAACCAGTCTTCCTCCTGGTGAACGAAGGTTCTTCGCCATAGACAGTCTTATATTCCTCCAAATAGCGGTCTTTGTCGGCTTGAGCTTGATCTTCGTAAGTCTGTTCGAGAAATCTGTCAGTATCTTCTGTCTTCGAGGGTTCACTTATAGAGTAGGCACATACCTTCTTTTCCGATGAGGATAAATTCTTCCACTCTTGTCCTATCAATTTGCCGCGTTCACCCACCGTCATACCCCGAAGGTCGCCCGAGTCATTCCTTTCTTTGAAGAAAAAAGCATAGGCATTCCTGGGACGACGGACACTGCGGTCGTCTTGAATGGGCTTGTACTGCTTCTTCTTGCCAGCTGCCCTGGCCTTTTTCGTCAATTGGCGTCGGGCATTGTTCGCCAATCTGATCTCCAGGGGCGAATGGGTCTGAACCCATTGTTTGTAGGCGCGTTCATTCTTGGCTTTGTTCTCGGTGGCTTCGTGGTTGTATCGCTACAAGAAAAGTGTTAGTTACCATGTAGTATCAGGGGCTATGCACGAAGAGTTTCCTACCTCACGCTCTTCTAGTGAGAGGTTCCTAAACCTCTCAGCAGCCGCCGTAGCCGCCGCCTTGACCTGTCCTCCACTCTTCTTGGTCTCTTCTGAGAATATGAGGCGGTGGGGTGTTGAAGGAAGTTGTTTAGGCTCTTCCAACAGCGCTGCTGCTCTGAGATCCGCTTGTTCTTGACGCGCCTTCTTCAGGAGAGTGGTTTTGCTGGGAGGCTTTCTAACTTTCGGTTTTGCCTTAGTTGCTGTTTTTTTGGCTTTCCTGGTAGACGGTTTCTTGGTTGAAGTGGCCTTTTTGGTGGTTGATGTGGTGCGTTTGGCAGATGTCCGGCCTGTATGTTGTTTTGGGCGGCTTGCAGGCTTTGTAGACGCTGTCGCGTATGCTCTAGCTTGCTGGAGGGATGATGCAAGCTTCGCAAGCTTATATCGGGAGCTCAAAGGGTCGTCGTTGGCCCTGCAATTGCATGTTACGCGTAGAAGAGGGTTGGTCGATACAGGTCGCGTGAGGGATCGAGCAGATCTGGCCAACAGCTGGTTGGCCAAGGGCCGGGAGAAAGGGAGTGCGACCGTCATGGCCGCCCTTGAGATAATGACAAACTATTCAATGCAAGGAGGCTGCCCTCCAAACATGTATGATTCTGGATTGACTTGTTGTATTCGGTGGCTGGGGGGGGGGAGGCTTCTGTCGATCGATCCACGCGTGCCTGGTCCAATCCAGGCCGAGCTTGTGGCTTGGGAGTCTTGTGGAGGAGTCGATCACGTGAAATACATGTGCTTATGTAAGAGAGGCACCAAGAAAATGCGGGACATTGATCGCCTGCGGGAGGTTCGAGTTTTGACCTGCAGCCTTGAAGTATCTCGTGAAAAGTGTTGTATCGACAAACGGCGCGGTATACCACAGTGGTGTCATACAAACCCATACTCTCGCCAGCCTAGAGTCCAGCCTTTTGCCACTCTCCGACAGTCCATTCTCGAGCCTGGTTCCTGATTTGCAGTTCAAGCAGTAAAGCTCACTTATCTGCAGCCACAGGATGGCTAGGCACGGGGACACTCGCTCACCATCACCTGCAGGCAGTTCTTATTCCTCGTCAAAACGCAGCCGGAAAGATGAGGATCGCTACGAGAGAAGTCGAAGAGACGATAACCGTGACCGTGACCGCGACCGCGGTCATCGTCGGAGACACTCCAGATCTCGGAGTCCTGATGTATGGCACCTTTCCCCATCTCATTTCCCAATAATCCAAACTCACAATTTTCCGCGACAGAGACGACACCGTGACCGCGATAGAGACAGAGACAGGGATCGCGACCGAGATCGTGACGCCTACCGTCGCCGAGACCGTTCCTTAGACCGACGCTATGATGGGCGGAAGGACGATGACTACTACTATTCTAAAAGAGACAGAGACAGAGACAGATCACGGGAGCGCGATCGACGACGCTCACGAGACCGTGACGACCGTCGTCGGAGCCGAGACCGAGATGGTCGCTCGAGGCGCGACGATTCCCGCGACAAGGATCGCCGGCTGAGAGATGAGTCTACTGAATCTAGGAAAAGGAAACGTGATGAAAGTTGGGATCGCGGTTCCAGACGAGAGTCGGGCATTGCTTCGAAGGAGGTTAGTACTGACCCAAAGTTTGCAGTTCTTATAGAGCTTATCAACGTTCAACAGGCGTCGAAACCAGCCACCCCTACTGCATTGACAGCCGAAGAACAGAAAGCGGCACGTCTGGCAAAGTTAGAGCAATGGAAGAAGAAACAAGCGGAAGAGCAAGCTAGAAAGCAAAGGGAGCTCGAGGCCGCTGGTGGGGCACGAAGCATATTGCAGGAGATTGACAGGAAAGCAGGCATCTTGCCGGCAGTGAGTTCTCCGCAGTCCCCTGCAGCTCCTACTTCGCCATCACCAGTTTCAACGCCGTACGCTGGCAAATTCGATCCCAAGGCCATAGTGAAGAAGGCCCAGCATGCCTCGGCCGCAACCAAGGTACTTGGGGGTGATATCGCCCCACCGACTTTGACCAACGGCCACGTCAAGGCCTCACAGCAATCTCCAAAGCCTGCAGCAAATGGCTTCTCTTCCTCAAAAGCAGTAAAAGCGACAGGGTCTGTGGGCAAATTTGGACTAGGTAGCAGAACGACTACGGACAATGAAGTAACAAAGAAAGGTCTGGATTTTGCAGACGATGAGGACACCAAGAAGAAACTCGAGAAACTTCCCAACATAGCCTTGGAACAAGATCTGAGTGTTGATGACACTCAACCGGATGGAGCCGACGACGGTGACAATGATGTTGACATGCAGGAAGAAGATGGGGAGGAAGACGCCCAAGCTATGGCCGCCGCGCGTGCAGCAGCAGAGCAGCGGAGTCAAGCGGAGCGAGGCGAAGACACGACCATGGCCGACGTATCTGCCCATCCAGCAACCACTACAACAAACGAAGAAGAGGAAGAAGTTGATCCATTGGACGCATTCATGCAGGATTTGGAACCTGTTGAAACCTCCAGGTCTTTCAGTAAGAAGGCAACCTCCAAATCGCGCCAACAAGAACCCGAGGCGCTTTTTGGGGATGACGAAGTTGACATTACAGCCGTCGATGATGAGCATCCCGACAACATCCTGTCCCTGGCCAGTGCCACTGCCAAAAAGAAGAAGAAGGACATCCCGACCGTCAATCATGCCAAAATGCAGTATCAGCCATTCCGGCGCAATTTCTACTCAGAGCCCGTGGAAATGGTTGATTGGACAGAAGAAGATGTAGCCAACTTGCGAATGGAATTGGACAATATCAAAGTCCGAGGGGTGGATGTTCCGAAGCCGGTGCAGAAATGGGCGCAATGTGGGCTGGGAGTCCAAGTTCTGGAGGTCATTCAGAAGTTGGGCTATGACGCACCGACCAGTATTCAGGCTCAAGCCATTCCAGCCATCATGTCTGGTCGGGACGTTATTGGTGTGGCCAAAACTGGGTCTGGTAAGACGATAGCTTTTCTTCTCCCCATGTTTCGACATATCAAAGATCAGCCTCCTTTGGAACCCCTGGACGGACCGATCGGCCTCATCCTGAGCCCGACGAGAGAGCTTGCTACACAGATACACAAAGAGTGCAAGCCCTTCCTCAAAGCTCTTGGTCTGAGAGCAGTGTGCGCCTACGGAGGTGCTCCCATTAAGGACCAAATTGCCGACTTGAAGCGGGGGGCGGAAATCGTGGTTTGTACTCCTGGCCGAATGATTGATCTTCTTGCAGCCAACAGTGGACGAGTGACGAATCTGAAACGTGTCACGTATGTGGTGCTGGATGAAGCGGATCGGATGTTTGACATGGGATTCGAGCCTCAAGTTATGAAGATTCTCTCCAACATCCGCCCAGACCGTCAAACCGTTCTCTTCTCCGCGACGTTTCCCCGGCAGATGGAAGCGCTAGCAAGGAAAACCCTGACCAAGCCCGTCGAGATTGTTGTCGGTGGTCGCAGTGTTGTTGCACCGGAGATTACCCAAATTGTCGAGGTGCGCGAAGACAACACCAAGTTTATTCGGCTGCTTGAACTTCTCGGCAAGCTTTATGAGGATGAGAAGAATGAGGACGATCGGGTGCTCATTTTTGTCGATCGACAAGAGGCGGCTGATGGTCTCCTACGCGATTTGATGAAAAAGGGATATCCTTGCATGTCGATCCACGGCGGGAAAGATCAGATCGATCGGGATTCGACGATTGACGACTTCAAGGCCGGCGTGGTGCCCATCCTCATTGCGACATCTGTCGCCGCACGTGGTCTTGACGTTAAACAGTTGAAATTGGTGGTCAACTACGATGCGCCCAATCATCTGGAAGACTATGTACATCGTGCCGGACGCACAGGCAGGGCCGGTAATACGGGAACTGCAGTGACCTTTCTTACTCAAGAACAAGACAGATATGCTGTTGACATCGCGAAAGCTCTGAAGCAGAGTGGACAGCCGGTCCCGGAGGCTGTTCAGAAGCTCGTGGATTCGTTTATGGAGAAGGTCAAGGCTGGCAAAGAGAAAGCCGGTGCGTCTGGATTTGGCGGCAAAGGTCTCGAACGGCTTGATCAAGAGCGTGATGCAGCCAAGGCTCGAGAACGCAAAACTTTCAAAACTGGCGATGAAGGCGAAGAGCAAGAAGAAAAGGAAGACAGTAAAGATGTCAAAGTTGGCGATGATCTGTTCGCCAAAGCCGCGTCAAGCGTCAAGCCGTTCGAAAGCAGCACCAGTCTTCCCGGTGTGCCCAAGGGGATTGACTTGGACGGCAAAATCACGGTCCACAAGACTGAGCGTGACACTGGAGGATCCAAATCTGGCGCTGGGCCCCAGAATCAAATGGACAAGGTCGCGGCAGCTGTGGGTGCGATCAATGAGAAACTCTCCAAAGCAGGTGTCATGCGGTCGGGCGTGCCTATTGACAACAAGGGTCCTGATGCTGGTGCATTCCACGCGACGCTGGAGATCAACGACTTTCCTCGTAAGTGTTTGCAGATATTCCTTTTGTGTGAACAGATTTTGCTAACTGTCGTTCTACAGAAAAAGCACGGTGGGCAGTCACGAACCGGACGAATGTGGCCAAGATCCTCGAAGCAACGGGCACATCTATCACTACCAAGGGCTCCTTCTACCCTGCAGGTAAAGAGCCTGGGCCCAACGAGAATCCCAAGCTGTATATCCTTGTGGAGGGCGATACCGAGGTTGTGGTGCACGACGCCATGAGAGAGCTGATGCGGTTGTTGAAGGAAGGGACAATGAGTGCGGCTGATGCTGCCGAGAGGACTGGAGGGAGGTATTCGGTGTTGTAAATGGCAGGCGATCTTTGGTGCCGTCAAGATAGAAGAATTGAATGAATCTCGGCGATGTGTCTGTTTGAATGCCCACCAATCTGTTTCATATGACGATGATGCCGTCGCTGCTCCATCCAAACTCAAATTTCTGCCCATGTCTCTATCGTCTTTGCTCCCGTAGCGTGGCACCGAACCAAGTCACCCCAAACCTGGCACCCTCTACCAAGAACCCTTAGGGACCCTAGCCTTGTGTTTGTCTTCTGCTCTTGTTTCAATCCAATCACTTTCAGACTTTCCACTCGTCTCTCTGACAAGCTGTCCGTAGCGGTCACGAGCTCATGAAGTCTCTTCTCACGCTGTCCGTTTCTCTCCTCGCCACTTTTTCCGTCGTCTCTGACGCCTTTGCCTCTGATCCTTCGCCGAAGTCTTCACCGCCCTCTGCAAACGAGACGCTCTACATCACCGCCCTGACCAACTACGCGGACCCGCCGTACCTGGCCCGCTTGGAGTGCTGGGCCCTCACCACCCCGTTCACCGTCTACCCGACGGTCGGGCGCGCTCTGGCGCTCGGCGACGTCGACAATGCCACTTACGTGGTGCTCCCGCCACGCAGCGGCGAGGGCTGGCACCGGCCGCCCCACGCCATGTTTTTCGTGCTGTTGAGCGGCGTGGCGCAGGTGTATGTTCCCCGTCGTGATGGGGGTGATAGCGGTGGCAGTGGTTTTGGAGGAGAGTCATCTCCCCCTCCTCCCCTTCGAAATCAGCATCAACGACAACAACAGAACTATCTAGCTACTCAGTCACCGCCACGACCCCACCCCACCGACCCGCGCTGGGACACCATAACCATCACGCCGGGCTCGGCGCAGCAGATCCTCGTCGCCGCGGACACGGACACGCGCGCCAGGGGCCATTTGACCTTTTACCCGGGCGACGGGGACTGTGTGGCGCTGCAGATTCCCTTTCGGGACGGGGTGGTGCCGGCGCACACGGTCGTGCATGAGGGGGCGTGTAAGTGATGAGTGATGAGAGTGAGTGTGAGTCTGTTGCTAGGTATATATTTAGGAGGGTCCAAGGGGGGTTGGGAGATAGGTAGTGGCTGGCTGGACGTGGGCACCTGTCTAGGTGGGCTGAGCAGGCGAGTGGGCGAGCGAGTGTGACCAGATCAAGGGGAAGGATTCCAAGGGCTCGCTCGATACGGCGGTGTTGTTCTTGGTAAAGAGATGGATGGGGTATAGCAGCTCACTTCTATCCTATCCTATTCTTGGTGTTGAACAGCCAGAGACGAGGGTCTGGACAGGAATGGGCAGAGATGGAATGGAGACCCTGGTCACTGGCCTCTCAGGGGATTCACAAGAACAGACGGGCTCTGACGAGGAGGTCACTGTTTGTGTGCTGTGTGCTGTGTGCTGTATGCGTGATCTATGGTCCATGTACTCGTATGGTATATCAATATCGTACTTGGTATATCACTTCTCTTGTACATCTGTCTGTATCTTGGTATCTACAAGATATCCCCGGTTCGTCGACTGCACAATCGAAAGAGAAAGACTTTCACGGTAGAAAACAATAGACCCGACTCGTCATGATAGAAACCAGGCCGCTCACTGTCTGTCGGTCTGTCCGCCTTTCCGTGAGAAAGACGTGCCCGTAGCCGCACACATACTTGCTTCTCACTCATTCACATGCTGTGTTCTGGAGAGGTCGTGAAGGAACTCCACCCGGTCAGAGGAAGCGGAAACGACCCAAGGGACGATGTCCAATGTCGAATCTTGAATCTTGAAAAGCGTAAACCGGTCAAACTCGCCTCGCCTCACCCTTCCTAACTCGACAAGAGAAAGTCGTGTGACATGGTAGTACCCCCGGCAGGTGTGGAGGGATGCATGTATGTTTGTATGCATGGATGTCTCATCTCAACAAAGTCACGCAAACCAACCCAATCCATGCAGGACATGCAGGACATGCAACAGTGACAGACAGATACACAGGCAGGCACGCAAGGAGAGAGGGTCATGCAGAAGTGAAAAAAAAAAAGGGGGCAAATCCTCTTTGTTATGTAGCATGCATGTGTGTGAGAGATGCACGACCGCCAGGCTTCTCAGCGGGTAGCGCCAGGAGCTCAAACAGATACATGGATAGATAGAAGTTCATCAAATCCATCCTCGATGCATCATCCGGCACAGTATAGTACAGTACAATACAATAGGTAGAGTAGAGTAGAGTAGAGCACAGAGTTCAGCCCAACGTTTCAACAAAAAAAAAAAAAAAAAAAAGCCCTTGCTTGCTTGCTTGCATTTGCTTGCGCATTTACATTTGCATATGCAGTGCAGTATCCATATCATAGCAAGAATCGCAGCTCGGAACCGCCCATCGCGATCGGCCATTACCTTTAATAATGGGAGGGACTGTTAACTTTTTCGTTCTTTCGATTCTTTGTTTGTTGTCAAGCACTCAATCCAATCGATACAAAACGAATAAATAAAAAAACAGGGGTCCATCTCCGAGGGTTAGGGTAGGGTAGGGTATGTCTAATAACCGGTGAGCACCCCTTACCTCTACCCTCTATCGTGCATTGCACACACACGCATGCATGCATGTCTGAAGGTGTGAATGGCTTTTTTGGGGTGAGTGAAGTGGCACAAGACAAGACAAGACAAAAGAAAGCAGACGAGGGTCTTGACATGCGTGTGTGACTGACTACCTAGGCACCTACCTACAGACAGCAGGTCACCAGGCACCTATTATTACTCGGTGCTCCGTAATCGTGTAGAAAGGGACCGAAGGATCAGTAAACATCGGAAACACAGAGGCAGATCATCCGTGCGGGCGCTGATGCGCTGGTGCAAGGGGGCCCAATAGTAGTTGCAGTTCGCATGGGCGCACTCTCTTCCTGTGCGTGGATTGAAATGAAAAATGGTATGAGGATGGTATGGACGGTTTGAACAAACAAAACGAGCCCACATGCCCTTTTCAGCTCTCCTACCACTGTCCCGATCCATTCCCAAGGCGCTCGTATCCATAATATCAAGTGACCGACCCTTTGGGTAGGTGGTAGGCGGAACGTGTGTGGAATGTAGGCCCAGTGTATCACACGAGAGAGAGTATTTGTCATTCATCAGACACAAAACCAACACCTGTCAAAAAAAGAACTAGCTTGCATGCTTGCGTGCGTGTTGTCGATCGCAGAGTCGCCGGCCGGTCTGCTTTGGAGGTGCCAAGGTCCGGTGCGTTGGTCTATTTGAGCTATTATTTAAGCCCCAGTGGTCGGTTAGAGTACGAGTTGCTTGGTAGTTGGTTAGTTGGTGGTAGTCATGTTGCATTCATTTTCTTGCGTGTGTAGGTGCAGGTATGTATGTAGGTGGGCATGGTGGTGGGCTCGCGGCTCCGAGGCGGGGTTTAACAATGTAATAAAGATTGATGTAATGGTGGAGGAATGTGGCGAGTATGGCATGGCATGTGGTGCCATGTATGTATTGTATTGTAGAAGTATGGTATGTGGCCAACATATAGAGATGCTTTTGCTTTGTTGTAGAGTTTTGGAAGAGGTTGCCGATCTCCAGCACCTGCAGAGTTTAATGGAGAATCCGAGAAAGTGGCCCAACAGACCGTCTACTCTGTAACAAAGAAGAGAGCTGAAAAGGCTGGCACACTAGCACGGCCGGGTTTCTTTGGCGGGGGGACCCCATTTCGAGAGCATCATTAGGCGAAGGCCGTGACAGTGACGGTGACGGTGACTCCCAAGGCTTGCACATGCTGATTTGGGCCAGAAACTTTCCGGACTACCTCGTACTTACTTATCCTTTGTCCAAGGAAAGGGTCTAGAGCTCTGTGCACAAATGGTGACTGGGACTTTACAGTAGCTTTTTCCCCCAGGGTTTTCAGCTGCTATTGGAGTGATGGGGAAGCAGACCAAAAAAGCAAGGCGATGGAGAAGGGCAGGAAGAAGAGGGTCGAGGGGGGATCTGCACAACGAGGACCGACGAGTATAACTGGCACCAGCTGGCTGGCGATCTGTGACGGGATGCAGGCTGCGAGTTGCGAGCTGCAACAAGCTGGAGCTGTTGTTGTAACAACAGCTTTCAGCTTCAGCTTCGACGAGTGGGACGGCAGATCTTTGTTTGGATCTTTTTCTCCTGAAGTTGGTTTTGGGGGTCCTTGGCTGCCCATTGATAGGCTGTAGCTGGCGTCCACCAAGGCTTCGGTACGAGTTGAAAAACAATGCCGTCGATACTAACAAGTAGGTACCTACACAGAGTTAGCCAGTGGTAGCCAGTATTCCCTTTTTCCGGCCAGCATTCCCTTGCTCCAACACCCTTGTGCCTTGTGTCTGCCATGTGTTGTGTAGTGTGTACTCGGGAATAATGGACAATAATAATGCCTCGAGCCGAACAAACGCATCTGTACAAGTGGCACATACCGAGTACATTTCCATGAGCCTGCCTGTTATGCGTGAAATGATGTATGGCATCTCCAACGGAAAGCCTGGCAGCCCGGGAAGAGGATCGTCGGAGTAATAGTCGTTCCTTGTTCTCCCCCAGAAAGTAATCACTTACCAACAAACCCACCCAACCAGCCGGAGCCGGAGAGAATATTTCAGGGCGAGATACTCGGTACCTGGACCTGGACGTGTATTTGTCAAGTACTCGTAAGGAAGTACCTCGTCCCCTCGCCCCTCGTCCCTAGCCGTAGCCGGGGCATCCCGGGGAACAATGCAAGTGCTCGTACCCTGGCCCGTCGCTGCTTTATGCCTGGGCCCGCACTCGTCAGTCGGTCAGTCGGTCAGTTGGTCGGGCTCGGGGCTCGGAATCGCTTTGGATCGCAAGCAAGCTCGCCTCGTACGTATGTATGCATGAGAACATTTCGTGCCTGCCGGGACAAGAAAAGGCGCGAGTTGCGAGGTGCAAGGTGCGTGTTGCGTGTTGCGTGTTTCGCGTTGCGAATGCTGGGACATCGGAGCCCATCTCTGCCCAGTGCCCAGTGCCCAGTGCCTAGCTAGAGCCCACCCCAGGCACGCTTGT